GGGGCAATTTCCAATTTTAGTTTGAAATGATAATGGACAACTAACGTAGTCAAGAGGGGCGGTTAAAACTACTCAATAAGGTTGACACATTTGTTAGCAGCCTAGCTAAATTACTTGTCCAACTTGTAATCCAATTCCTACTTCATTTTACTCTTACTCTTAAATTAGATAAAAATCGTTAACCACTAGTGGGGTAAAATAACACTATTCATCTCATTTCGTGTAATCTATTTTGCATACTTATATATTTTATTAGTAGTAATGTTGGAAGAATATATTGAAATAGTGATTAAAACGTAAAGAAAATATTAGGTGACTTGTTTTATTTGTTTAAATTTTGGTAGACAAAATTATTCGATTTTTATACATGTACTGATGTAAGATAGTAGATATCTGATAAAATAGTCAAGATACACATAAACTGATTCAAATACTACCATCATAAAAAAAAAAGTCAATTAAATAAGTAAATAAATATTACATTAATATTTAAGTTTTGAACGGTTTAGTGGATTTTAATTTGAAGAGAAAGTGAAGTCGTGAAGCGGCCGAACTCTTGGAATGCGGCTATTCCTCAATCCTTGTGTGAATGTTATATAGAAATGAAGTATCTCAATTTGTGAGATGTTTCGTGTATCAACTGGCCTTTTTTGTTACTTTGATGAGAATGTGAAAGTTATGCAAAAAATAAAACTTTCAAAAATATATTAAAACGTCTCAATTAAAAAAGAGTGGCATGTAAGTCCCGCCGAATGATTATTCTTTATGAAGGATAATCATTTAAATTTTTATTTTATCTTATACCATGTTTTTAAACATTATTAAAATTGCTTGAAAAAGGAAAAATTGGAAAAGAAAGAAAAAGAAAAGGAAGAAGGTAGTTTAGGAAGGAAGAAAAGAAAGAAAGTGGGCAAGAAAGACGGAACCGAAAGTAAGAAATTATGTAACCACCACTTCTTTCTTTTCTTTCTACAGCTTCTTATTACACTGTCCCTTTCCGCTGAAAATTCCTTTAATTCCATATATAATAATAGAACTATTACTCTTCGAATGGCGAAAACCACCGTAGAGGGCGGAGGAGGGCTGCCGGCGGCGGCTAAAGAGGCGGCAGAACTGAAAAGGGAGTTGCAGAGAGCAGTAAAGGCTGTAGTTGAAGACGATGATTACAGTTTAGAAGTCACCGATCGAGCCATGCAGTGTTTATGTGCTTTAAAAGAATTGAAATTGAAACCTTTGAATTCAAATCCTTTGGATATTCGTAGCCTTTCTTTGAGTTTACCAATTCCACCCCATGAATTTGTTTGCCCGCTTTCTGGTCAGCTTATGAAAGACCCTGTTGTTTTGGCTTCTGGTCAGGTTTGTTTCTTTTCCTTCTCACCCTTTCATTTCAGTAATTTCTTCTTCTTTCTTTGTATTGCTTTGTTTAATTAGTCTATATATATATATATACTGTTTAAAAGTAATACTCTTAGTTTTTGTATTATTGATACAGTGTTCAAACTTTGTAGTTCTTGAAATTACTCTTGTTCAAAGTTTGGGAAGACGTATTATCTGTTCGACACACATCTCACATGTGTACATTTATTATGAGTATATATTGTCATTTATTTGTGAAACAGTTTTTAGATTTTAATGGCTCTAAAAAAATCTGACGAGTTATTTTTATTGAGATATTTGTCTAAATTCTTTTAGGGTAGCTAGAAAATAAAGCAAATTAATTTTATTGCTTCTTTCTCGTCCTGCCAGTGTCAGGACAAAGCAAACCTTTCTCTCACCATAACATTGTCTTGTTATCTACAAAAGCAAGAAATCTAGGTGGTACTTGTAGGATGATGTATGTTTCTACTTCTTCGCCGGATAAAAAAGTAAAAAAAAAAAAACAAGAGAACAAAAAAAAAAAAAAAAAGGAAAAAAGAATAAAACAGAAAAAGAATGCCAGATATATGAATCATAAATTGCGATTTCCAGATTGTTGTACCTTTTGTTGAAAGGTGTATATTGTACTGTACTCGTGATTGTTTGTGGTAAGTATATTATCTGAGGCGAATTGAGAATTGTAAGTCAATCTTCTGTGTGGTTTATATACATATCTGCTACATACATATAACTGTTCAACTATATTATAGTTCAAACCAAAAGAAGTGCCCACACCTAGGGGTGGATTTATAGGCAATTTTATGGGGCACGTGAACCCACGGTCTTTCCACAAAGTTAGATAGTTTATTTACGTGTTTTCTAAAATTGATATGATATTACCTGCTGGCACTCATGCTCCACGAAGGTTAAATGGTGCACTTGGTTGAATGTTGAGTTATTTACCTAGAGAAATAGGGATCAATTCCTGCTTAGTACATTTTTTCCTTCTTTTTTTTTTATAGTGCACCCATGTACTAGAAATTCTAGATCCGCCTCTGTCCACACCTGCTTGCTATTTTAGTTCACCCGCTGAATATCATGGTGTTCCTCTAGCCATCTAGGAAAAAAAGGGAAATCTGATATAGAATAAACGGTATCTGTTACTCTTTTTGGTTTAGGAAAGAGAGGGGATGGGGTTAGTTAAGAATAGCTCACGAAAAGAATATCTGTAAATCTTTTCTAGCGGTGTAAACATGAGAGACGAGAGAGGAGCGGAATAACAAAGCTACATGTTCTTAAAAATGTTGTACTTGGTTTCCACATAAATATATACAGTGAAATTTATTTGACAATACTACTTTATGTTATTCGGTATAAGTTAAATTGGCAAAGATTTTGCATTTCCAAATTCAACAAAGCGCAGAGTAACTTCTTGCCAAATTGCCTTCCTCTCAATGTTCTGTTCTGGCTCCTTCCTAATAATTTCTCTTGTTCAACTATTCGTTTTGGAAATCGTTGAACTGTTTCTATCTTTGTGATTACTCCAAATATTTTGATTACTCGGAGTTTACTAGATGGTTGTTTTCATTAAAAATTTAATGTACGTTATCGTGGTTTGCAGACATATGACAGGCCATTCATTCAAAAGTGGCTGAAGGATGGCCATCGTACGTGCCCTGAAACAAAGCAGGTTCTTTCCCATTCAGTTCTCACCCCAAATCATCTAGTGAGGAAAATGATTTCACAGTGGTGCCAGAAGCATGGAATTGAGCTGCCCGGCCCTTCCCATGATGAGAACCAGGATATAATCACAAATGCAGACCGAGATCATTTGAATTCACTGCTTGAGATGTTGTCCTCTAGTAAAGTTCCGGAGCAGAAAAAAGCTGCAAAAGAAGTTCGCGTCCTGACTAAACAGATGCCATCTCTACGGGCTGTTTTCGGGGAGTGCAATGATGCCATTACCAAATTGCTCAATCCTCTTTTGTCTGGTAACGTGAATACTCATCCTGATTTACAAGAAGATTTGGTCACAACAGTTCTGAACATCTCAATACATGACAGTAATAAAAAGCTAGTAGCAGAAAATCCTGTAGCCCTTCCTTTTCTCATTGAGTCGTTGAAGTTCGGAACACTTGAAACAAGAAGCAATTCTGCTGCTGCTCTCTTCACATTATCAGCACTTGATTCAAATAAGCATATTATCGCAAAGGTAGGTGCTCTCAAGCCTTTAATCGACCTCTTGAATGAGGGACAACCATTGGCCATGAAAGATGCCGCTTCAGCAATTTTCAACTTGAGCATTGTCCACGAGAATAAGGGTAGAGCTGTCGCCGAAGGAGCAATAAAGGTGATTATGAAGAAGATCAGGGGTCGCGTACTCATTGACGAGTTATTAGCTATTCTTGCCCTGCTGTCCAGTCATCACAAGGCTATCGAGGAAATGGGAGAGCTGGGAGCAGTCTCTTGTCTCCTAAGTATCATAAACGAGGACACAAGTGATCGCAACAAGGAGAACTGCATCGCAATCCTCTACACGATGTGTTATAATGACCGTACAAAGTTGAGAGAGATCTGGTTAGATGAGAGTGTCAATGGGACGATATCTAGTCTTGCTCAAAGCGGGACCTCTAGAGCCAAGAGGAAGGCGAATGGCATTCTTGAGCGGCTAGATAGATATGTTTCTCTTGTGCACACTACTTGAGGTTGAATGTTTTGGTTACATGTACATTCTTAATCACCCCATGTAAGTGATCTTGCTTCTTGGTAGATCTTATACAACTGAATTCTGTACTTGTAGGAAGATATAGATATGGTTCGATGTCCATCTTGAGTCTTGTAGATTACTGTAAAAATGATTTTTACAACAATAAGTACAGTTAGTTCCATTGGTTGCTTTATCTTCATTGTTCTTTGAGCCGAGGGTCTATCGGAAACAGACTCTCTATCTCTATAAGGTAGGGGTAAGGTCTGCGTACACATTACCCTCCCTATACCCCATTTATGGGATCAAATGGGGTTTTTTGTTGTTGTTGTTGCAAGTACAGCAAGTTTCATTGTTAGTACTTTGTTCTTTAAAGACGGATATATCCTGCTCTCGTGTGTTGTTTGTAACAAGTAAGTGAATATATTTCCAGATGGATGGTTTAGTGTTTTTAGGTTCAGGGTAGTGATGCCTGAAACTCAGGACAAAAACTGATCAGTCGAATAATACTTTTTGCTGATGAAGGGATGAGCAACTAGCAATTCCTTTCCAGAAATGGAGAAAAATATTCAATAAAGTGTAAGCAAAATGTTCCCTTGATATATCAAGGTTTAGAGCTTTTTATATCAATAAAAACAAACGTGAAATTAGTGTAGTCAGTATCACTTTAGCAAACAACCCAACGACATTTGATGTAAAAAATCATTCATATACTACCTATTAGTTCTACAAAAGGAAGGTTTCATCAGCTGATCGATGCTTTCTGCATAAATCTTTCTTTCTCAAGATGAAGATGGGAGGCCCTATTGTAAAATAGCTTCGCCACGGTACTGAATGATATTTGCCATTTGTATGAATATATCTCGAATGATAGATATACTTATGCCTTACAGGGCGGAGCAAGGCATCTTGAGAAGAATCCAAACATTCTCTTCTGTATCCATATCAAAACAATGAATTAAAAGAAATGGGTCAGAAAAATGCTAGTATTTAATTTATCACTGAATGTGAAGGTGAAATCACTCTCTCAATTTCTTTACGAACTATTAAGATACAAACAGAGAAAAATAAAGCTCGACTTTCTTGATAAGTCATTTTTCGGATGGTAGAGATGCAATATTAATGTTGACAACCTTCTGTTTGTTTTTTTGCGATTGCAATATTATTGTATGTCCATGTTAATGCTGATTGGTGATTTGACACATCTTGTCGGTATTCTTAACTATCACATAATTGGAGAAACAATATTAATGTGAATAAATTAAAATCGAGGGACTACTTGAATTTATTCTAAATTCATTATTATTATTATTAGTATAGCAGAAGCGAGATTATCTATGTCTGATTTCACTATCAAAAATTTGTAAAACTTTGTGCTGAAAATAGTAAAACGACAAGCTCGAAACAAGGAAACAGCCAAGGAAGGGGCAAAAATGTACCCATACTAGTGTTTATGTCAGACGAGGAAATTCAACCTAACGATTCACAAATAAAGGATAAACACATCAATTAATCATGCAAAGTGACAAAAAGTGTACAAAAAACACATACGTACTATATATTATGTATTTATTAATTAAATCTAAATGCCAAACACGAATAAATATTTTAGGAGAAGAGTAAAAGGATATGGGGAGAAAGACTAACTCGCTTATAGCCAGGAAGAAGATGAGGAGGAATTTTGTAGAGATCTTCATCCACAGGTTTGGGATTTGTGGGCCTCTGGGCCACTGTTGCGGACTTCATTGTAGGCCCACTATCCTTCTTTAATTTCTCTACTTTACCTGTCCATTTCTGCTCTGGACACCTCTTCTTATTTATTGCAGCCTTTGTCTGCACTTACGACTTTATTATTCAATCTACAGTAATGTAGTTTCACATGAAAAAAAAATGAGAATTCATTTAGTCAACTTAACTAATTTGGGATTGAAACCTAGTTAAATCAATTCTCTCCCTTTCTTTTCACATTACTCTCCAATCTTTAGAACAGCATATTATATTTCACATGGTAGACGGTCCACGAGACAGTTGCTGAACATGCTGTACATATTTGAATAATTGACGTTCTGCCTAAAAATACATACTATAATAAGTACTAAGTTCGAGGCAAATAATAATGGAGCTAAAAAGTCAAGCATCAAATCTTGACTTTACAAGTCCAATGTTGAAATTGGGTTGAGTTTGTTGGAAGCTTTGCTACTTCCAATGACTCTTTGAGGAACACGAGTTCTAAGATTCAAAGAACCCCATTTTCTTATACCCGAGATAATTGTACAGACAAAATTCTTGATAATAGTCTTGTCTTTCCAATATTTTTTAACTGCTATTTTAAGTATTATATAAAATATATATAATAAAGTATTGTTATGAAGGATGATTGTTACTGAGAGGTCTAATTGTATTTTACGTCTAATTGTATTTTACGTCACCGGGGCTACTACATTATAATGGGTTTAGAAGTACACAATTTCGTCCCAAAAATTTGAGCAGACTATCACGAGCGGATATAGAAGGTTGACTACGGGTTCAATAACTTTTCACGCGGAGCAAAAATTTATATGTAAAAAATTCCTTAAAATTATAAAAATAGTAGATATGAACTCATAACTTTAAAAATATAATGGATTCAATGCTAATATCTTATAAATTGAACTCATAAAATATAAATCTTGGATCCGCCTCTGATCATGAGTCATGATTATAGCATATTAATATTCTATGCTCCAATTATTAATCATTTTAGCGAATTTTGAATTTATTTTTATTTTATGTTTTAGAAAACCACAAAGTTTATTAGTATATTATTTTTCAAATATGTTCTTAGTATTTCAATTAATAAAGTGCTAATTAAGTGATAAATTTAAGTGAAAGGTAAAGGTATACACAAATACTCTTATCAATAAGGGTACTAAATGTCTTTTTCTAAAAAATATGTAAAAATCTTAAAAGACGAATAATATGGATTGAAAAGTTTTTTTCTTTCGGTTTTTGAATTCTAACTTGTTCAATAATACTGAAATAGTAAGCTTTAATAAAATTGAAATTTCTGTACCGTGTACTCTCCAACGATTGAAAGCTTATTTTCCACAAACTATCATAAGGATGAGGAATCACGATAGTCCAACTAGTTGGTTATTTGAACTTCACTTTGTTGGTGGGATTCAACTTTCCATATTTGTAATCCTCTTCCATTGCCTTGTGTAAAATAAAATTAATACTATAAAAAAAACTAGCACAAGAATCATCGTACTTTAAATTAGTTCATTTATTTATATATATAAACAAGTGTAAATATAAATACGCACATCTCCAAGATTCTAAAATGGCAAAAATTAAGAAGACTGACCTTTCTTTGAGGAGCATTAGGGATAGCATAAAAGTGAGGTTTGTGGAAATGAAGAGCATAAAGGTCAGTATTATTTTCTTCAAGTGATGAATGGCAGCTATGGCGGATCAACCCTGCTTGTCTTGCACACTCGAAATACTGTGTAATTGGCATCTCATTTGCATTATCCCAATCTCCAAATACTGGAATTTGTCCACTTCTTTTACACTCCTTTAATACATTATATCCATTACATGTGTATAGAACAAAAAAAATGCTTTCAAGAAATTGCACCATATATATATATACAGAAGAGGAACTTACCATTTCCATAATTTGTTTGGTCCAGAGACAGGAAAATTGATGAAGTTAAACAAAGGAAAGGGGAGGAAATCTTGGAGAAATGATGTTTCTTGTTCTTATTAAGCTACAAGTGAAAGATGAAGTCTAGTTGAGTGGGTTGTTTAGGTGAATTGGTGGGGTATATATGGAGCTCTATCTATCTATATAGGTTCATTAAGTTAGGTAATAGCATAATCTACACTTTTTAAAGGTCAAGCAAAGGTTTCCAACTTTAGGAGAATTAATGGAAACACCTTCCGCCAAACTTTGCACTTTCAATATATTAATAATTAAAATAGGACTTGAAAAATACTAAAGTATGACACAATGTCATACCTTTCGTTTTCACTACGAAACTGAAAATTTCTATGGTACATTTATCGTTAAGAATTCAATTAGTATCAGTACCCGCGCGATGCGCAGATATAAACATGTGATTTGAGTTATTTGATTTATGTGCAAATAAATTTAAAATATTAATCTTTCAGATAAAATTTATATATAATCATTAAATAAATATTTTAAAAAACACAGAAATTTCTCAAATCTCTTAAAATTACCCATAATTTTTTGTCCGTATTGCATTACCCATAACTTAAAATTATCATATTCTTGCCCGTTACTTCCATTATAGTACATTATAAATAAAACTAGGTTTTTTCTTTTCTTGTAGCAATTCTTTTATTTAATTTTATTCTATTGTTCATATTAATGTTTAAATTTATCATATTTTTTATAGTACCTATATTTTTATCTTTATAATTAATTAAGATAGAGGCGTTGTTTTTATCTGTCAATTTATTTATTTTTTAAATTTTATTAATTAAGATAGGACAGACAATATCTTTAAAATAATATTCACCGTCTTTTCATTTAGATTAAAAAAATTAAATTTATATTAAGTATTAGTATTAATATTATTTTAAATTGTCAAGTGGTTTTATAGTAGTTTGTCACTTGCCTTAACCACAATGCAAATTTTATTCGTTATTATTTAAAATACTTTCTTTTCTCAAAAATCAAATAAGGCTTATCCTTCCAAATATTTATACATTGAAATAATATATATATATATTATCTTTTTCTTTTAATTTTTTTAATTCTATTATAATATTAATGTTTAAATTTATCGTATTTTTTATAATACCTATATTTTTATCTTTATAATTAATTAAGATAGAGGCGTTGTTTTTATCTTTCAATACAATTCTTTTTAAATCTTATTAATTAAGATACGACAGACAATATCTTTACAAAAATATTCACTTTCTTTTTATTCAAGTTCGTAAAAATATATTTTAATTTAATTAAGTGTTAGTATTAATATTATCCTAAATTGCCAAGTGGCTTTATAATAATTTATCACTTGGCTTAATCACAATGCAAATTTTATTCATTTATATATATATAAAATACGCACACACATATTCTCTTGGAATTTCGTTTATAAATATTTCAGTTTTTCGAGAAGTTAACAATATTGCAAAAATTCAATGTCAAATTAGGAAAAAGCACGTATGCTTCAAAAAAAACTTCTTTCGATGTTACCCTTTCAAATATATAGTTCTTGAAAATAACCCTTTTAAATGCCTAAAATTTAAGCGGCAAGGTAGTTTTAAATAGGATTTACAATATCCCATAACTTTAGGCATTTATTAGTCCAATTAAAAATGAAGATTTTCCAAATCTTCGAATGTGATACAAAATTAATACATTATATTTTCTTCTTATCCTTTTAACTTTATCCTAAGTCTTTCCTAAATTCTTATTTATTTTGTCTTACTTTTTTCTTATTCTTAAGACGCCGCTTTATTTTATATTTTAACTCACTCCAAAGTATAAATAGTCATATTCCATTTACGTCTTTTTATATTTTTTATTTTGTTTCTATTATAGCTTTTTAATTAATTTTTCATCTCCATATTTCTAGTTAATATATAAGAAAACCTATGAGTGGATCAATATATAGATATAAAATATAAATATAGATGTAGATACTAATATACATATACATATACATATACATATAAATATAGATATATAGATTAGATTTGTCTAAGATCTATTTAGATTATGTATAAGATTAATTCAACTACTTCCATTAATTATGTTTCCATTAATAATTTCTAATTATTAATGTTGTCTTTAAATTGCCAAGTGGCTTCTTTTTAGCTTGCCACTTGGCTTAACCACAATGCATACTATCCTCTTTTTAATATAATACTAGTATTAGTACTCGCGCGATGCGCGGACACAAATATCAAATTATAATTCGAGTTATTTGAATTACCTTAAAATTTAAAACTTCCAAATAATATGTTTCTTTTTATTTATATTTTTATTTTATATCTGTAACAATCCAACTCCTTGATTTATTAATTGTATTTTATTTTGTAGTCAATATTAAATAATACTAAACATATCACGTTTGTGATATGTCTTGTTTGAGCATATTGTTTAACAAAATTCTTACTACCACTTTATGTTTCACCGCAAATTCGAATAAGTCTTATCCTTCTACATTTTCACCCAAACAACTCTTTCTTTAATCTTTGCTTCTAGTTATTGCATTATCTATTACTTAATAATATTACATTCATGTAATCTTTTATTAGCTTATCAATTGACTTGATATCTTGCTTATTGCCCTTTTGATAAATATATATAAATATAAATTTTTTTATTCCTAAAAATTAATTTATTTTTATAATTTTATCCTCTTACTTGGAACTCTTTTTTCATTTAAATCTTTAATATTTTTTAGTATTATTTAATTATTTAATTTCCTTATACTTAATTAATTCAAAGTATAAATATTCTCACACTATCTCTATTTTCCTCTTTATACATCCTCTTCCCTGCTATGAATTTTTAATTAGTTTTTTACATTAATATTTTACCAATAAATAAAATATATAATATCAAGTTTTATTTTAAGACTTTGAATTAGTTTAAAATATTAATAGATAAGTTTTTTCTTATTATATTTTAAATCTATTAAATTTTCTTATAATTTTTTGTATCATGTAATTAAATTTTCTTTCTCTTTTAACGTTAGGATACAAATTAGACTTTAATTTTCGTTCATAAAATTACCCACATGAGATATTTATTTTTTATTTCCTTAGTTTTAATTTGTTATCCAATTTTTAGTTTTTTATCTAGTAAAATTTTAATTTTATAGTCCTATCCATAGTTTGAGCATTTTCACCATAATTTTAATCTAAATCTCAAGTTCAAATCGTCTTTTTCTTCTATTTCTAATATTAAATATTTTTAAATTTTTGATTATTGCTATTAAGTTACTTAATATGTAGTATTTTATTTTCTTATGTGGCTTTCATTAACATGCCTCTTTATTTAATATCATAATCTATTTATATCCTTTAGTAATATTATATAATCGATATATGATTTTTTAATATTGAAAAAAATATTTATTTTATTTAAAATTAATACTCAAAATTATTAAATAGTTTAAATTCATTAATAATATTTTTAAGCATTATATATTTACTTTATTTTTTAAACTAATTCTTAATATAAATAACCTCGCATTATCTCTAATTTATTAATATTTTAATATTTTTTAATTTTTTAATCTATTAAACTTCAGTTATATGGCCTTATCCACATCAAGACCTTTTTTATCATACTTAAAAAACTTTTTTATTTCAAATTTAAATAAGTTTTATCCTTTTTTGTTCTTTATGATAGAAATTTTAATTTTTTCTTTGTTTGTTTCTTATTTTGCTATTGTATATTCAATACTTAATATTATTAACGTTGTCATGTGCTTTTTATTAGTTTACTTGAATTTAATGTCCACTTTTATCACATTTATTTTAATATAAANAGATACCTATAGTAATGTATATTGTTCACAAATAAGGTCAGATACAAAGTTTATACTAAATAAAAAATTATTATTCCAACTTAACATTAATGTGTAAGATACAAAATAAACATTTAATTAATTCTTTCTCAAAAAAGGATACCTACCATAATTGAATTATACACAAAATTTTAATAAAAGATACCTATAGTAATGTATATTGCACCCAAATAAGGTCAGATACAAAGCTTGTACTAAATAAAGAATTATTATTTCAACTTAAACTTAATGTGTAAGATACAAAATAAAAATTTATTTGATTCTTTCTAAAAAAATGATACCTACCATAACTGAATTATACATAAAATTTTAATTAAAGATACATACAGTAATGTATATTGTACCGAAATAAGGTCAGTTACAAAGCTTGATCGATTAATTAAAATTCGTCCCTATCATAATTTATTTCGTCCCTACCATAATTATACAAAAAAAATGTTAACTAAATTATACTACTAATAGAGATTTGTATAATAATTAAAAAATAATTCTTATTGAACTATTACTTCCATTAATTATGTTTTTATTTATAATTCAAATTTTTAATATTGTCTTAAAATTGTTAAGTAATTTTTTTTAGCTTGTCATTTGGCTTAATCTCATACTTCACTACGGTTTCAGTTTTAATGATTACTAGAGTTTGAACTCATGGAGCTAGTGCCACAAAACACGAAAGTGACTAGCTTTCTTTTTTCAGCATAGATTATCAATTCAGACCTACGCTAGCAATTTGTTCTATCAACAAAATGTAAGACGTAATAACTAACTTGGACTAAAATCCCCTTAAACATTACATAAGTATATGTTGAACTTGTAGTAATATTAATTGGAGTATTGTCTAAATTAATAAATTTACATTTATCATTCAAAAATTGGTAAACGATTAACTCTCACTAATGGACAAAAAGAGGAGCTACTAAGTAGTATTACCTCTGTTCCAGTTTATGTGAACCTATTTCTTTTTTGGTCCGTTCCAAAAACAATGATCCCTTTCTAAATTTGGTAACAATTTAACGTAAATTTATAAGTCTACCCTTAATGAGAAGCTTTTATAATCACACAAATACTCTGGGCCCCTTTATGACTTGTTTAGGACCACAAATTTCAAAAATTTTCATTTTTTTCTTAAACTTCGTAACCAATCAAATATGTTCACATAGATTGTAACCGGGTGAGTAGTACAATATAATGAATTGAAAACTCCAATTATAAAAGTATGGTCGACAAGAAAGGAGTGGAAGGTAGCATACAAGAGAAAGAAAGGACAAACAGACTGTCAGTCTTAACGTG